TATACCCATATATTGTGTACGTTGTATAATGCATTGCGAATATAAATTTTTTTAAAAAATGAGATAAAAAATTTAAAGTAAATGAAACGTATAAAGATTTCTTCTTGTACTTCAACGGCTGTCTGATTATTGCTTTAGAACAGGGGGGCTAGGGGCATTTCTGTCCTGTGTCCTCAGGAGGTCTCGAGGGGCTGGCCAGCCTCAGAGCCTCTCTTCTTCCAGCCAGGCAGGTGGTGGACTAGCAGAGCTCAGTCATAACCATCCCCCGGGGAGACTCCAGACGGTGGCCTGGTGGAGTAGCCCTGCTCCAGTCACTGCTGCTGCTTCCCCCGTCGCACACGTCCTGCATGCAAGGCGCGGCGGCAGCACCCGGAGAAGACTTGAGTGTTCTAATGACACTGACCAGCAAGCACCTTAACAGACCAGCTTTAGTACCAAAATTCCTTCCTTAACATCCGTCTACAGCATCTGAGACACAATCTAGTGCAGAGAAAAAATACCTCTTACCCCAAAACTGGTCTAGTTTTCCAGTAACTAACATGTAAAAGCCTCATGTCAGTGGGAACTGTGCCAAGGTATGATTATAAAGAAATGAGACTAATGTTTATAATACAGATAAGTTTCTAAAACACAGAAATATTATTTTAAAGATACATTATCCTAATAATAACAAAAACAATAGCGTCAGCTAGTATTGATTGAGGTAAGAACTTTATGTGTGTTACCTCATGTAATCTTGCAACAAGCCTGTAAATGTAGGACTTACTAATCTATTTAACAGACACTTGAGTGCCTACTTGATGATGGTGCTGTGAAGACAGCTCCATGAAGACAGACCAGGTCCCCGAGCTCATGCAGCTTACAGGGTAGTGGGGAGCCAGACACATCCACGAGGGACCAGACATAGTAGAATCATAATTGTGGTGAGTAAACAAAGTCCTGTGTTAGAGAGCTGCAGGCTGGGATGGGGTTATCAGGAAATGCTTCTGGAAGGAAAGGACACTTGGGCTGAGACGGAAGTTGGAGGGTTGGTGACCTTTCCTGGGAAAAAGTCAGTGCTCCTGGACAGTCCTGTGTGCACCATTTTCTGTCCTGAGTGGCTGTTTATGTGGACTTGTTCTCTTCCCCAAGTCGTCATAAAACACCTAGAGGGCAGACTCTGAGTCTGATTCCTTCTGTGTCTTTCACTGCACCTAGCACAGAGGTCCTAATGAATGTTACTTGGCATGAATTGGTACATGAGTGGATGGATAAAAGATGTGTAAGACATGACATCTTCCCTGTGATGTTTCGGATATATCTTGTGTGTAGAGCATCTGTTAGGGGCTTTAAGATTAGGAAATAAAAACAAACTCTAGCCCCTTGCTGTTTAAGGAGCTCAGAGTGTGGTGTGTAGGTGGTGTGAAATAGAACACCTGAGAGTCAGAAATAGCTGGCAGAGCAAGTTGAACCAGCAAGTGTGTACTGTGTTCAGGATACCCCTCCCCCGACATGATCCATGGTGGTCGTGGGTCAGGCTTCTCAAGAACAGGCTGCGCTGCTTGGGGAGGCCCAGCATGCAGATGGTGGGGGAGCAGGTCGCAGAGGGGGTATGTGCAGAGGAAAGCCACCTCAGCCTGAGCAGAAAGCCCGGGCTGCAGAGGACAGCTAGTGGAGAGGCGATTTGCTGACTTGTCTTGTTCTCTAATGGCGTCGTGCAGAAACTCAGGATTCGGGTACGTGGTTTACAGTGTGTGAGCCCTCTGTCCTCGCACCCTGCCTCTTTCCCTGTGCAGTATTTGTTCATAGTTCAAGAACTGAATATCCCAGAGCATGGACAGTTGCATGTGGTTCTGCTGCACAGTTCCACGGGTGAACTGCACTTTCCTCCGGCCTCGGCTGTGTCCGGCAGAGATTTGCAGGCATAACATCGTTAATAGCAACACATATTTTTATAAGATTTACCTATTCAACAACCCCCCCCCATTGGAAATTATAGCTTCTTTAACGTCCTGCTGGCTGCATGAAAAACAGGAATTTATGTAATAAGCCCTGCACAGCAAACCTTTTCCTGTTCGGAAAAAAATTTTTTTAATTGTTGGCAAAGTTAGGAGACAGCTCTGTTACTCAAAAAGCGACCTGAAATGTCCTCTTAGAAAACTATGTAGCATAGTATCTTGATAAGTAAGGCCTTGCCGTGGCCCTTTTTTTCCCCCTGTAAATCTAAGTAGTAAGATAATGTATATATGTCCCACCTGAGTTAGTGAATGCTCCCTGAGCTTTTTAAAGATTTCATCGTTAGGTATTCTGCGGACGTGTTAGAAATGTCCCCGATCGCAGTTGCAAATGATCTGATTTAATGATGTGTGCTGCAGAGCTCCGCCACCCCTCCCCCAGTCAGCGCAGACAGCCAGGAAGCTACTATCTAGGAAGATCTTCCTTCTTTATCATTAACTAAATGTGACAGGGACAGGAGTCAAGCTTCCTTTCCTCCAGAGATTTCATCATAGCTTATCAGTGTGTCTATTGTGTTCAAAGAACAAGATAGTCCTGATGGAATGTTGTGCAAATGCGCAGACTTCCAGCATATGGAACATGGCGTGGAACATGGCGCAGGGTCAGAGTGCTCAGCTCCATTCCAGGTTTCCCCCGGGGGCAGGCCTGCTTCTTTAAGGAGGAATTCAGGACTTGGTTTGCTGGTGTGGGTAGGCACAGCAGATGAGACTGTGGCTCTGGGAGTGTGTGTGTGTGTCTGTGTAAAACCTTCCTATAGGTTTTTGGGAAATCTTATGGGAATGGAATAGGACATTAGGGTAATGCAGTACTTGGCCTCTTTTAGGGATTCTTGTATGGATTTAAAGCCCCCAGGTCTTCCTCAAAGCTTGTCTTGAGTTGGGGGTAGATTCATAGGTGGGAAGGAAGAGAGAATTTTTGGAAACAGAAGAAACCCTCACTGCCATCCACTTAAGACACCTGCCCAGCATCCAGCCTGGAGACTCCCATTCAGGGCCCTGTCTGACCCACCCTCGTTGTGTGCCCTGGCAGAGGGCTTGTCACATAGCTGCTGTGTTGCAATCTTTGGGTGGAATGTAGTACAGAGGGTCAGAGGGCGTTTTGAAATGTGGATTTCTCAGCCCTGACTGTCCGGCCCCACTCTGACTTTTGCATCTCCCTTTGGAAAGTGAGGTGGTGGTGGTGGTTTTTTTTTTTTTTTCCTGTTTCTTACCTTCTTTTAATGAGAAAAAACTTGAGCTTATGGTTTGTGTTGGAACCCCAGCCTTATCCTGTTGTGCAAAGGCTTTGTTCTGGCACAGTGACTGGCACTCAGGCATCTGCGTCCCACGTCGAGGGCGGCATGAGGATGTGGGCGTTGTGGCTGCATCCCTGGGTGACCACAAATTCAGCCAATGCCTTTTCGTGGTCGGGGAGGGGGGCCGCAGGGGTCCAGGGAACTTGATCAGCTGAGGCTGTCACCCAGTTAGGCAGAGGAAGCTGGGGTAGTCTGGGGGCCATGCGCACAGCCCTGCTCCCAGGGGTCTAGGATGCCCAGAATCTTGCTCCTGGACCTGGGATCAGAGACCTGAGCTCAGAGGCTGCTGAAGGAGCAGATACTAAGAGTCTGCTGTGTGACCTGTTGTGTGCTGGGGACAAAAAGCTATAAGACATGATCCCTCCTTCATAGGAGCCCACTTCTCCTCTTCCAGACTTGTCCCAGAGGCTCTCCAGATGCTGACAGTCTCGCCGAGTGTCCAGTAGGGGAATCAAATTGGAGCTTCCTGTTTGCAGCCTTGGCTCCGCTGCTTCTACTGGAGCTTGGGAGACCGTCTCCAGCCCCCTTCACCATGGGTTTGGAGTTGTGGGTTTGTGTTTGTAATACCTCTAAGCTCCTACCCACACCCCAGTGAATAGGAGGAGGGAAACGGGGCTCAGAATGGCGATATCCTGTGCCCCCAAAGTTGGGATCTAATACCTTCTTCTCAGTGACTGCTTATCATATACCAGACACCGCTGAGCATTTTACATCCCATAACTCATGGGATCTGTCTAACAGCCCTACAAGGGTCTATTATTTATCTCTGTTGTACAGTGAGGAAACTTAAGGCATATAGGGTTCCCAAGGTTATGTAGCCTGTGAGTAGCAGAGCCACCTAAGTGCTCAAAAACAGTTGGTTTTCTTTCCTGGTTGTCCTGGGGTATATGTGGCACAATTCCTCATGGAGCTGTGCTTAGCGGATCGAAGCCTCGGGCTCTTTGTTGTCTCCACCACATCTTTCCCTCCCAGGTCGTCTTTTTTGGAGAGTATCACCTCTGATGCAATGTCGTTGAGTTAATTGGTGCATACTACTGGTTGTTTTTTGGGAGGGAGGTGGCAAACAACACTTGAATTTAAATTTTTCCCTTTGTTGGCAGTTCAACTTTCTAAAATTTAGCTAATGGACTTAAAGATGTGTAGATGAATCTAGGTCTTACTAGTTTTCAGGCTTTTAATTCTTGACTAAGAATATATCCTGCTCGTTTCTTTCTTTTCCCTAATCATGTGGGCCCCGAAATATAAAACTTCTCACTGTGTAAATGGCAGATGTACAGTCTAAAGAGAACTGGCAGTAGTTTTAGGGGTGATAGAATGGAAGGGGTTTTGATAGCGCTTTGATACAGAGTACTGTTTGCATAGCATTGTAGCTAAGCAAAATTTAAGTGGTTTTAAAACCAGTTCCTGTAATTTCCCGGAAAAATATAGCTATATAAAAGAAGGTGTTTATAATACTGCATGCTTAATTTTGTCTCCTCATTAAATTAAGGGACAGATAACTATTTTTAAGATAAGATACTATTTCTCTTGTATTCGTTTGAGCTCTTTCGTAGTTGAGTTCAGAACTGTGACAACTGTTGAGGTTGAAATCTGTACCATAAACTCTTTTAAAATGTTACTTGTCTTCCATGTAATAACGTAATCTATGTTGAGTAGTGAGTTTTCCAAGTGGAGAAGTACTGCATTTCTAACATGATGTTTTGCTTTACAGAATTCAATTCGTCATAATCTGTCCCTACACAGCAAGTTCATTCGCGTGCAGAATGAAGGAACTGGAAAAAGTTCTTGGTGGATGCTCAATCCAGAGGGAGGCAAGAGTGGGAAATCCCCCAGGAGGAGAGCTGCATCCATGGACAACAACAGTAAATTTGCTAAGAGCCGAGGCCGGGCTGCCAAGAAGAAAGCAGCCCTCCAGTCTGGCCAGGAGGGTGCCGGGGACAGCCCCGGATCTCAGTTTTCTAAATGGCCTGCAAGCCCTGGCTCTCACAGCAATGATGACTTTGATAACTGGAGTACATTTCGTCCTCGAACTAGCTCAAATGCTAGTACTATTAGTGGGAGACTTTCTCCCATTATGACCGAACAGGACGATCTTGGAGATGGGGATGTGCATTCTATGGTGTACCCACCCTCTGCCACGAAGATGGCTTCTACTCTACCCAGTTTGTCTGAGATAAGCAATCCTGAAAACATGGAAAACCTTTTGGATAATCTCAATCTTCTCTCATCACCAACGTCATTAACTGTTTCAACCCAGTCTTCACCTGGTACCATGATGCAGCAGACGCCATGCTACTCCTTTGCACCGCCAAACACCAGTCTGAATTCACCCAGCCCAAACTACCAAAAATATACATACGGCCAATCCAGCATGAGCCCTTTGCCCCAGATGCCTATGCAAACGCTTCAGGACAACAAATCGAGTTATGGAGGTATGAATCAGTATAACTGTGCACCAGGACTCTTGAAGGAGTTACTTACTTCTGACTCTCCTCCCCATAATGACATCATGACACAGGTTGATCCTGGGGTGGCCCAACCCAACAGCCGGGTCCTTGGCCAGAATGTGTTGATGGGCCCTAATTCGGTCATGCCAGGCTATGGCAACCAGGCATCTCATAACAAAATGATGAATCCTAGCTCCCATACCCACCCTGGACATGCTCAGCCAACGTCTGCAGTTAATGGGCGTGCCTTGCCCCACGCGGTAAACACGATGCCCCACACCTCGGGTATGAACCGCTTGGCCCCAGTGAAGACAGCTTTACAAGTGCCTCTGCCCCACCCCATGCAGATGAGCGCCCTGGGGGGCTACTCCTCGGTGAGCAGCTGCAACGGCTATGGCAGGATGGGCATTCTCCACCAGGAGAAGCTCCCAAGTGACTTGGATGGCATGTTTATCGAGCGCTTGGATTGTGACATGGAGTCCATCATTCGGAATGACCTCATGGATGGAGATACATTGGATTTTAACTTTGACAATGTGTTGCCCAACCAAAGCTTCCCGCACAGTGTCAAGACGACAACACATAGCTGGGTGTCAGGCTAAGAATGAGTTAGTGAGCAGGTAAGATCACGCCAATATTGAAAGACTTTGTGAAAACAGAACTTAAAAGAGAGGAACACGGTAACTTTCCACAAACCTTCCATGGTTAGGGCTTTTTTGATGTCACCTGGCTGCCCCTTGCAGAGAAGCATCTTGTATCATTCATTCTCCACCCTTTTTGCAGCTTATAAATTTTTCTTTTGAGCTAAAACATTAGGTAGCTTCCTCTAACTGCTTTAAATATTTTCTCTTGACAGTTAGATGGCTGCATCTTGTTAGTAGCTCTTCAATAAAGGAATGCATTTGATACAAATCAAATACTGAAGGGTTTTTTTTTTTTTAAGTGAAATTTTCCTCTGAATGATTTCAGAGCTGTTTGAGAAAGCTTTAGGTCCCCCCCCCCCCAACTGTGTCTGTCACTCTAATATGTTAAATTGAATTATTTTAATTTGGCTATATTTTCATTGTGTGTCTATGTTTTTTTCTAGGCTACACTGAAAAGTACTTCAGATTGTCTGACAGCAGGAACTGAGAGAAGCAGTCCAAAGATGTCCTTCACCCCTCCTTTTCGTTTTCTTGATTTAAAAAAAAAAAAAGCATTTCTTTTTTCTTTTCGTCAAACTTGGCAGCGAAGACACTTTTCCTGTACAGGATGTTTGCCCGATGTTTGCAGGTTATGTGCTGCTGTAGATAAGGACTGTGCCATTGGAAATTTCATTACAATGAAGTGCCAAACTCACTACACCATATAATTGCAGAAAAGACTTTCGGATCCTGGTGTGCTTTCAAGTTTTGTATATAAGCAGTAGCTACAGAATTGTATTTGTGTGTGTTTTTGTTTTTTTAAATATCCATTTGGTCCAAGGAAAGTTTATACTCTTTTTGTAATACTGTGATGGTCTCATGTCCTTGATAAGTTAAACTTTTGTTTGTACTACCTGTGTTCTGCTGAACTGACAAATCAATCACGAAGAACCAAGCTCTCCATTCTGCACCTCCTCTGAACAGTTTTGGACCTGTTCACATTGCCACATAATGAGAACCAATAGCCTGTTATCAATCTGCTGAATTAATGGACTTGTCACTCTTTTGGGGGAAAAAAAAAAGATTAAACGCCAGCCTTGTACAGATTTTTCTATTTTTTTTGTTTCTTTATTTTGTTATTTGCAAATTTGTACAAACATTTAAATGGTTCTAATTTCCAGATAAATGATTTTTGATGTTATTGTTGAGACTTGAGATCATTTTTGGAATAGATACTGAACTGTAATGTTTTCTTAAAACTAGAGTCTACTTTGTTACATAGTCTGCTTGTAAATTTGTGGAATCCCAGATATTTGAGGCAGCATCCATAATTTTCATTTTGTATTTCTTACTGGATTAGTACTAATTTTATATGTGCTTAACTGGTTTGTACACTTTGGGATGCTACTTGGTGATGTTTCTGACTAATCTTAAAATCATTGTAAGTAGTACTCACATACTCAACGTTTCTAGCCCTATTTTGGCAGGAGAGTGATGTACAGTTATGGACATTCTGTGTTTCACTTTTAGGAGAACTTAATATGTTTTTATGTATGTATTTTAAAGAAATTCCATCTGCTTCTGTTATCCTGTGACTAAGCGCACCACAGAGCATCACGTCTTCTGATAGACGCCTTTGTGCTCGTCATTCAGTTACTCCTGGGAGGCCTTGTAATGTTTGTAGACCAGAGAGGGAGGCAGACCTGCATCTAAATCAGCGCTCCTTTCTCACTCAGGGGTTTTGATCAACTTAACCTTTTTGAGTTGAACTTCAGCAGAAGTTTTCCCTCATAGTTCTGTGCTCTGATTTTGGCAGAGGGGGAGGCTAGTTTTGTAGCTCTGCCTTGAAGGATTATGTCAGCACTCACACGGCATCCTTTCCCTTCTCTCCTGCAGATTACTTAGCACACTGGAAATTTCAGTGGAAGGGGGAAATTTTAAAGTGGGGCTTGAGTGATTTGTAGAATGCTTTCTGTTCATGAGTGCGCATGGCCACTGAATGGAACAGAACTTGGTTAAAAATAGGGCAATTAATTTGAAAACCAACAAACCAGCTGTAAGTTGTATATTTTAGTTTATTTGAAAAGCTTTATTTAGCATAAGTTAAGAATTGGAGAATTTGTTTAGCCTTTAGCAACCTAAACTATAATTCTGATGATTATGTTTTAATATTTCCTAATTACCTGTAACTGACAGACCAAGTTAATTGACTTTGCGTCCCATTTAATCCATCAGTATTTTCAAGTCATGTGGAATGCCCAAAGTCAGCACGATAAAAGGAACAGAGGCACAAAAATGTTCCCCTTGCCTTCTTGAGAAGGCTCTGATTTCTGTGTACTTAGCCCAGATCACACGTGCTTTGTCTTGCCTGTGAATTGCATCTCTGTTGGCTTGGTTTTTCCTATGTGTTTAACAAGTATACAAGTGTTGCTGATAGATTTCCTACAGGAGCCCAGCTCTCTTAGATTTCCTACAGGAGCCCAGCTCTCTTGTAAGCTTCCCACTGTGACTTCTACTATTTTGAAAATTCATTAAATAGCCACCTGCCTAACCATCTTCATTTTTGGCCACTCCAAAATATGTCTAGTTTTAGAAACCCTAGTTCCTCTAAGCAGTGCCTCCTGCATGTGTAATAGAACTTGTTGGTGTCAGAGTACTCATGTTCCTATTTCTGTTACCACGCACTACCACCTTCCTGCTCCCATGCCATCACACAGCGAGCTTCGGAACGCTGTTTCATTCATTAAAGAGGCAACTACAGCTAAAATCACTGTTAAAATCTTCATAGAGTGACTACTTAATAGAGCGACTTTTAAAAAGATGTTTCTTCCTCCCAAGTCTGTGTAAATATCTTTTTTTTCTTCAGGTTTTCTTTGTGTTGAAATTCTAACATGAATCCTGGGTAGCTTTCTCGGGTACAGTGAAGATCAGTGAAAGGCACCTTGTCTACTTTGAAAACAAACATTATGTGACCTCTGATAATTCTTTTTCTGTACGAATACTGACTTTAGTATATCAGTTATTGTACATGATTGTGAAATGTGCAAATGATATCACCTATGCAGCCTTGTTTGATTGATTTCTTCTGGTTTGTACTGTTATTAAAAGCATATTGTATTATAGAGCTATTCAGATATTTTAAATATAAAGTATTGTTTCCGTAATATAGACGTATGGAATATATTTAGGTAATAGATGCATTACATGCAAAGTTCTGCTTTGACAAACTGACAAAGTCTAAGGTAATTAGCAAATGTTCTATCCCAGTGAGCAGTAAATCATGGGACATCCTGAGAAGAGGAGAAGGACACATAAAATGGAAATAGTTCTCTGAGGGTATACAATTTGGACTTGTTCAACTGCTGGCTAAATGTTATCAATCCCATCCCCCCACCCCCACAGCCCCTTACTTGAAATTCTTATATTCAGTTCTTAAGAGTTCTTAATTTATAACTGACTTTTAAATGAGAAGTTTCTCTTGTGGTTTTAGTTGGGGAGTAATCATTCAGTAAAAAATGTGATGTGGTTTATGCAAACAAAACAGCCTGGCATTACTCTTGGCCTCTTCCTTGAGGGTGATGCACGGCCTGGCACTGTGGCCAGGTGTGGGCACAGGAGTCCTGTCAGGACGTAGCCGTGCCCCTCTGCATTTCGCTCCTCGAGTTTAACAGCAGTGCAGATTCCATGTTCCTGTTCCGATATCTCTGAGAAGTGCCTGATGATGCTGATGTACTTACAGACACAAGAACAATCTTTGCTATTATTGTATAAAGCCATAATGTACATAAATTATGTCGAAATGGTTTGGTGTCTTTTCTTTTCTTTCTTTCTGTTTCTTTATTTTTTCCCCCCAAAGCCCCAGTAGATAGCTGTATGTCATAGCTGCACATCCTTCTAGTTGCGGTATGTGGGATGCGGCCTCAGCATGGCTGGAGAAGCGGTGCGTTGGTGCGTGCCCGGGATCCGAACCCGGTCCGCCAGCAGCGGAGCGCGCGCACTTAACCGCTAAACCACGGGGCTGGCCCAGTGTCTTTCTTTTCTAATTGTACAAAATAAGCTCTTTATTAGGATTTTTTATTTTTTTTAATTTTTAATGTTTAGCTATCACTTGAGTTAAACCTTGTCAGCTGCAGTGTCATGGTTTATTCAAATCTGGTATTTCCTTTGGAGGGCAGGGGAAACAGTCCCTCTGGGATCAAACCAGTAGCCCTTGAGAATTGAAGAACGAGTAAAATCCCTGATAACAAGCAACCCTGGAGAACTTCATCTTTGGAATGTCTGAAACTACATCCGGCACAGTAATTACCAGGCATGTTAAATCTCATGTCAGAACAGACCGTGCTGAAGGTGAAAACACGAAGGGCGAGTGAGGAGGGTCCTGGTGAGGAGGTCACGGGCGGGCCCTGGATGATGTGGAGGGAGCAGTGGCTGTCCGAGGCCACATGTGCTGCTGTCACTGTGTCACACAGCTTACTGAAGGAGAAGATTGCGTCCACTTTTAGCGGCAGATTGGAGGTTTATATGTTTGCTTTTTTTCAGAAAATGCCTGAGGAATGAGCTAGGATTAGATTATTAGATTAATTAGGTTAATAATTCCAGTCTCTATCTGCTTCTGACTCATACCAGACAAGTGAATGAGTGAGTGGGAGTGCAACAAGGGGATAGGTTGTTCTCAAGGTTTGTCTGTTTAGACACCAGAAGGTCACTTTGGCTTTCAGGGTGGTTTTTATTTTTTCCTCCTTCTAGCAATGGAACTCTAAAAGACACAAGAGTCAGAAGCTCAGAGTGTAGAACGGATAAAAGCATCTACTCCCAGACCCTGCGGTTCCTGCACAGAGCACTTGGAAAACTGCTGATTTAGTCCGAACGCAGAAAAACGCCTTGATTGTCCCGACAGAACTCCAGCCAGCAGGCTCCTTTCATAAGCCACAAAGTCATGCCTCTAATGTCATTTCTTGAGACCAGTTCCCAAGTTTTACATCACTTGATAGGAGGTGACATAGCAGGAACTTTCCCTGATACATCCCATGGGTGGAGCTCAGTGCCTATTGCAGAGGACAGACTTTCTTCCTTGGATAGTATCTGGGCCCCTGCTGTGACCAGAGGGCCCACAGTAGAATCCGGAAGTGTACGTAGGATTGTGTCTTGAGCCAGGCACCAGCCACACACAAAGACTTTGCCTTGGCTATTGTTTCTCCATGTTTGAGCTGGCCTATAACAAAGATGGTACTAGTTAAACTGGTTAGTGTAGTTAAGTAGGTGGAGGGCCGTTACAAGGGATGTGTCACACTAAGTGGCGGTCTCTGAAGTAGATGCTGTCACATACACATCAAACCTCAGATCATCTGTTAGTGCTCATTATGGCCTGGGAGCCTGCAGCTGGGCTGGGTGGGCCATGACCTCTAAAATGAGGTTGTATTCATGGTAGGTTTCCTTATTCTAATTTATTTCATTATTTTGGTATAGAAAATTACAGTTGTGATAACTTATGTACATGTCCTCTAGCATGTTTTCCAGTTGAAGTAACTGGAAAATGAAGTTTCTGTGGACTGGAAAGGCAGGCGTGTGCTGGCATGGAGGAGGGAGGGAGGAAGACGGGTGGTCTTGGGTGGTAATACATCAGGGAACCAGATGTGAAGTGGAGATAGCTGAGGTGTGAGCTGAAGGTCTTGGGTCCTTGGACTGGAGGAAGCTACGGAGTGGCGTGGGTATCTAGAAGTTCCAAAGAGAACTTTTACTTTTTGCAGGTGACTGGGAGAGGAGGCTTTCTGTGCAGACACCTGGCTTTGGCAACGTGGCTGTGAGAGGAGGGAGCTCCATACTGGGAAGGCATTCACCTGTCGGAGGAAGAAGGAAGAAGAGGAGGAGATCAGGCCCAACTTTCTTAGGCCAACTTTTCTTAACCTGACTGTTACCTCTCACCCCCTACCCTCATGAACTCAGGCTGAATGAAATTTCTTAGTATTAGTACCTTTATCATGTTCACATTTTGCAAAAGTGAAAGTTTTGTTTGCACTGGAAGCCACTGGTGGAAAGTAGAGATTTACATCCTCTAGGAAGAAAGAGGGC